TCCTTATTGCAGGATTTCCACCGTATGGGGAGCAGGACGAAGACTTTTTGGTCTGCGGGTCGAGAGCGAGCCTCTTCCGGTTACAAGCTAGGCGGGCCACGCGAAGCTCTAATTGGGGAGACAGAGCACAGGCGGGCGGGGCCTCGGGCGGCCGGAGGGCGGGCCGGGCTGCAGGTGGTGCCGAGGAGCTTGCACAGGAAAAAAATAGTCTTGGACAGGAGCCGGAGGCGAAGTCCCGGATGGTGAGCGGTGTGGTGTTGCCGTCGACGGCGCATCGTAAACACCATCCTCAAGTGCTGCGTGAGGATGAACGCGACCAGGTCGACGTCCAGGGGGAGGAAGTCCACCATGAAGGCGATGAGCAACGTTGTGCCACCAGGTGGTGAAGAGGGGCCCAGGAAATGAGGAGGACCACGGAGGCGATGTGCAACGTTGTGCCACCGGGTGGTCGGAAGCGGCCTGGGGTGGTAGTCTAATCCACGTTCAAGGAGCAGCCAGCAAGAGGTACGGCCAGAAATGGTCCGTCCGTGTCCGACTGGATGTCGGTGACGTGCAGGGAAAAAACCTGACCTGCACAGTTAGCGCGTGAAGGCGGGCGGGTGCCACACACGATGCGCTGACGACCGCATGGCCAAGGGCCGGGCCTGAGCCGCGCTGCCCAAGGCAAGCGGGGCCGCCGAGGCGGCAAGGAGGAGGAGGAGGAGGAGGCGGAGGAGGAGGAGGAGGGGGAGGAGAAGGAAGAGCAGGAGGAGGAGGAGGAGGAGGACGAGGAGGAGGAGGAGGAGGAGGAGGAGGAGGAGAAGGGGGAGGAGGAGGAGGAGGAAGAGGAGGAGGAGGAGGAGGGGAGGAGGAGGAGGAGGAGGAGGAGGAGGAGGAGGAGGAGGAGGAGGAGGAGGAGGAGGAGGAGGACTACATCCCCCCTCGAAATCAAACCTACGTTTTTCCAGCGGTGTGGCGGCGCCCCAGGACCCTAGAATTTCAATGTTCGCGCCGAAACTGGCGACTGCAAACACAAACATCTGACCCCGTGGGCCGCGTTTAGCGCGTCGGCCAACACTAACAGCTTGCGTTTGATTGCGAGGATGGTTGTAGAATGAACTCAAGATGCATCATCGATATCGCAACCCTCCCGTCCCAAGTCCCCTCCCCAGCAGTCCCTACAGGCAATGCGCGTTCACTGCGCGACGCGCGCCCCCTCGAAACACGAGCCCCCCACGAGCCCGCAACTCGGGCGGCCTTCGAGCCAGAAGGAATGCGGCAAGGTGGGCTTGGAAAGTTCAAGGAGGTGCCCAACGGCAATGGCAACCCCGCTTTTACAAAGAAACCGCCTCCATTTCTTGTGGTTTATTTTCGGAGTTTGCTCTTCGTTCGAACGAAATCTCAGGCGAGAGCCCCGTTCTGTGAAGGAACCGCCCTTCATCTGTTTGGAGGACACCTTACACGATAACAACACGTTTAAAACGTGCTAGCCACGATCCGTGTAACTGTTGACAACCTGTAGAATGAATGCAAAGCCCAGACGATCACCACATAAAAAACGGCCAGCCCTCCGTCCAACGGTTGGCAACTCCTAAGACAAATGTGCGCGGCGCTCAAGTGAGAACCACATTTTGAAAACGGCTGGCCTGCATTCGTGTAATTGTTGGCCGCTTATAATACGACGATTGTGCGCGGTGTTACGGCGAGACCACATTTTGAAAACAACTGGCCCTCCATCCGTTTAGCGGGTGGAAGCTTCAGGCCTCGGGAGAGTATCTTGCAAGATAATCTCAAGCCGAATGCCTGGTCAATCACAGTGATAACTACTTATACTGAAGAGGGATGGGGGAGGAGGGGGATGAGGAGGAGGAGGAGGAGGAGGAGGAGGAGGAGGAGGAGAAGGAAGAGGAGAAGAAGGAGGATGAGATAGAGGGAGGGACAGGAGCAGTGTGAGTAGGAGGAGGGGGAGGTGGGAAGGAGGGGGAGTTCAGTTCACACCCCTCGGCAAGCGCAAGGACCAGGGGGAGACGGGGAGGACGGGGATGACGGGGAGCTCAGCTCACGCCCCGCTGGAGGCGATACCGCGCTGCAGTGCGCGGGCAGCCGAGCGGCGTGTACCGCCGATGCTCCCCGAGCGAGACCGGGGGGAGGGAAGAGTTGGTAGAGGCCTCCTAGATGGGGTCCCAGTAGATGGGGTCGGAGGATCTCGCCGCATCGCCGATACATCGGCGATGCATCCCCGATGCATCGGCGATGCATCGGCCATGCACTGGCGACGTCGGCGACACATCGGCAACGTCGGCGTGGAGAACATTGGGCCCCACATCGAGCCGCATCGCCGATGCATCGCTGATGCGGCGCGATCTTCCGACCCCATTTACTCCGTCCCCATCTGGCAGGCCGAGGGTTGGGGGTTGCGAAAGGTGCCCCTGGCCCAAGGTGCCCCCAGCTTTTCGATCAATTCTGGGACCCATCGGGCCCTCTGGGCCTTGTGAGGGTGCTCTGGAGGCCGTCAGGGCCTCCCTGGAAATCCTGGGGGCACTTTTTTTTTTTTTGTTTTTTTTGTTTTGGTGTTTTGTTCTGGTGCAAAGCTATCGTGTCGATTAGACACCCTGCGTGTGCGTGCGAAACAAGGATGCCGCCACACACTCCTCACAGCCACACAGACCCTAAGAACCCAAACTGCATCAATGTTTCTGCTTCGCCGGCACTTCCAGTGGTGCGACCCACGCGCCGCCTGATTATCCCATACTGGGATCGATGACTTCGAAGACTTCTGGCAACACCCGAAGCAGGGGGCAGGCGGGAGCCCACACCCCTGCTGGGCAGATGGTCCACATGGCGGCGCCTGGGGCCCGCTCGCGTGGTCGGGGGGGGGGAGAAGGAGGAGGAGGAGGAGGAGGAGGAGGAGGAGGAGGAGGAGGGAGGAGGAGGAGGAGGAGGAGGAGGGGGGAGGGGGAGGAGGAGGAGGAGTCAGGGATGGGGATCGAGAGCTCCAGCGGCCCGTGCAGTGGACAGAAAAAACAGTCTCGGAGGTCCCCGAGTGGGGTGAGGCAGCCAAAGGTCGGAGCTCAGAGCGCCCCGGGCGGAGCTGCAGGGAACGGTGCAGGCAGGACCCTCCTCCTCCTCCTCCTCTCCTCCCCTTCTCCTCTCCTCCTCCTCCTCCTCCTCCTCCTCCTCCTCTCCTCCTCCTCCTCCCCCTCCTCCTCCTCCCCCTCCTCCTCCTCCTCCTCCTCCTCCTCCTCCTCCTCCTCCTCCTCCTCCTCCTCCTCCTCCTCCTCCTCGGAACGAGGTGGAGGAGATCGAGGAGGAGGGAACAGGAAAGACGAGGTGGAGGAGGACCGCCGCGGGCTCGACCCTGGGCGTCGCGAGGCGCACGCCCCGATTCTTGCCACGTGGCATCGCGGGCGATCTTTGGGGCTGCGAGCCGCGCAGCCGTCGCCACCTTCGTGGGCTCTCCTGGGAGGCGCGGCGGAGGTGAGGGCAGCGCAGATCCCTTTGAGACCTCGCGGCTCCCTCGAGGGCCGCGAACTGCGCAGCCGTCGCCACCTTCGTGGGCTCTCCTGGGAGGCACGGCGGAGGTGACGGCAGCGCAGATCCCTTTGAGACCTGTCTGCGCCTACCTCGCGGCCCTCCAGGGCCGCGACCTGCGCAGCCGTCGCCAGCTTCGTGGGCTCCTGAAGGGCATGGTGGAGGCGAGGGTCACGCGAGACCTCGCGGCTCCCTCGGGTGCCACAAGCTGTGCAGCTGCCGCCGCCTTCGCGGGCTCCTGGGAAGTCCAGCGGGGCGAGACCTCGCGCCCCCCCGGGAGGCTGCCAAATGCGCAGCTGTCGCCACTTCTGTGGGCTGCACGGTTTCACCCCGGGGCCGTAGGCGACCCGAGGAGGAGGAGGAGGAGGAGGAGGAGGAGGAGGAGGAGGAGGAGGAGGAGGAGGAGGAGGAGGAGGAGGAGGAGGAGGAGTACCAGGAGGAGGAGGAGGAGGAGGAGGAGGAGGAGGAGGCAGCTGCTAAATGCGCAGCTGTCGCCGCTTCTGTGGGCGCCCGGGAGGAGGTCCAGCGGAGGCGGCAGGCTCGCGGGGCCTCGCGGCTCCCTGGGAGGCCACGAGCTGATCGACCGCTCGCGTCATCGCCGCCTCGCGTGCAGAAAAGGCTGGGTGCGTCTCGGGTGGGGTAGCTCGGGCATGTCCTCCTACAGGCGGGTCTCGGATGAAAAATGTAGCATCGTCAAACATACCCCAAACTAGACAAGGAGCAATTGAAACATCGTCCCCAGACTAAGAAACAACAACAACTACTTTTGAGTAGTCCTCCTGTAGAGGGACATGCCCGACTTGAGGGTAGGGCCCAGCAGGGGGCCCTGGACGCCGACAAGAACAAACCTCACAGCGTCGGAGACCTGGGGTTGTCTCGCCTCGTCCTCTCGCCATCGCTCGGACGTCCATTCCCCGTGCACTTTTCGACTTCGTGCGTCTCGTTTTTCCACAATAAGGTCCAAGATACTCCTTGATGGTTCCCGCCAGGAAACAAATGCACACCTCTGAGCGATGCTGAGTCCTTCTCTGAAGGGAGCAGCCGCCTTTTGCCCGCTCGCTCGCTCGCCTTCAGCTAGCGGGCGCAGGCCCGGCTATCCGAAGCTCCGAACAAAAACTGGTTCCGCCGGTTTTCGGGCTGATTTCTTCCTCCAGGGGCCCTCCCCGGGCTTCGGGACCACCAGAAACCGACTCAGGACGAAACGCCGGCCCCAGGGAAGTGGTCCAGACCTCGGGGGTCCACGCATCGAAAGAACGGGCGCATCGAGACAGTTAAAGGTCCTTCTCTGAAGGGAGGAGCAGGGGAGGAGGAGGAGGAGGAGGAGGAGGAGGAGGAGGAGGAGGAGGAGGAGGAGGAGGAGGAGGAGGAGGAGGAGGAGGAGGAGGAGGAGGAGGAGGAGCAGGCCGCCTTTTGCCCGCTCGCTCCCCCGCGCGGGAGGCCGAGGCGGCGCTGGGTCGGGCGCGCGCCCCTGCAGGGCGGGCCTCTGGCGCTTACTCGGGGACGCTGGCGAGCCCCGCGGGCCCGCGCGCGCCTGGGCGGGCCTCCGGGCACGCGGCCCGGGAACCCTTCGTGAAGAGCACCTCCGGCGGCGAGGGAGGAAGAGGAGGAGGAGGAGGAGGAGGAGGAGGAGGAGGAGGAGGAGGAGGAGGAGGAGGAGGAGGAGGAGGAGGAGGAGGAGGAGGAGGAGGAGGAGGAGGAGGAGGAGGAGGAGGAGGAGGAGGAGGAGGAGGAGAAGGAGGAGGAGGAGGAGGAGGAGGAGGAGGAGAGTGGAGGAGGAGGAGGAGAGGAGGGGAGGAGGAGGAGGAGGAGTAGTAGGAGTGAGGAGGAGTTAGAGTAGGAGTAGGAGGAGTGGGAGTAGGAGTAGGAGTAGGAGGAGGAGGAGGAGGAGGAGGAGGAGGAGGAGGAGGAGGATGAGGAAGAGGAGGAGGAGGAGGAGGAGGAGGGAGGAGGAGGAGGAGGAGGAGGAGGAGGAGGAGGAGGAGGAGGGGAGGAGGAGGGGGATGAGGAGGAGGAGGAGGAGGAGGGGAGGAGGAGGAGGAGGAGGAGGGAGGAGGAGGAGGGGAGGAGGAGGGGAGGAGGAGGGAGGAGGAGGAGGAGGAGGAGGAGGAGGAGGAGGGGAGGAGGAGGGAGGAGGAGGAGGAGGAGGAGGAGGAGGAGGGAGGAGGAGGAGGAGGAGGGGGAGGAGGAGGAGGAGGAGGAGGAGGAGGAGGAGGAGGAGTAGCAGGAGGAGGCGGAGGAGGAGGAGGACCCAGGTCTCCCACGAGATGCTTTTTTTCCCTAGCTGCCCCGATGCGCAACACGCAGCACGTAGCGTACTGATGCGGATGTCAACACGCAGACCGAGCACACGTAGGTCTGGCGCGATGCGTTCTCCCAAGCGTGGGGCAACACATGGCGAGTCAGCACGCAGCGTTTTGAGCACGGCACGTGTTGCGTTTCAAAGCTGGCGTAGCAAGGCAGCCAAGGAGCTTTTTTTCCATCCAAGCGTTTTTCATCGATTTTGGCTTCGGTGTCCCGTCCTGGGGCCCGAGTTGGGCGTTGCCTAAGGGGGGGATAAAAGGGGGTGGAACCAGGGCTCGACCAAACCAGTGTTGGTCGTTTTCGTTTTGTTTTCATTCAGCCTCGCTTTGTCTTCGTTCCGCCTTCGCTGCAAAGCGAAGTCAAAACGAAAACGGTCCACGAAATCGCTAAAACACCGTTTAGGTCGAGCCCTGGGGGAAACGCGTGCATGTCGTGCCCCTTTTTGGGCCCCAGGGGCCCCTTCAGGGCCCGGTAGGGTGCACGCGCGAAAAGTGCACGGCGACGTGGTCAACACAAGGACACGACCGCTGCTGGAGCTGGTGTGATCAACGAGGGCCCCGAGGCCCTAAGTGGGGCAGGCGTCCCTTGGGTGTCCTTTCACAACGCCCGTGGTGTGATCAACGAGGGCCCCGAGGCCCTAAGTGGGGCAGACGTCCCTTGGGTGTCCTTTCGCAACGCCCGCAGTGTGTGAGGGTGGTCCCTTTCCCTCGTCGCCAGCGCCTCCAGCAAGGCCGACTTCAGCTCCTCTCGTCTCCCAAAGGAGGCGCCAAATCAGACGTGCGAGTCGCGGGGCCCCCGAGCACAGACCGATCGCTCCCCCTCCTCCTCCTCCCCCTCCTCCTCCTCCTCCTCCTCCTCTTCTTCTTCTTCTTCCTCCTCCTCCTCCTCCTCCTCCTCCTCCTCCTCCTCCTCCTCCTTCCTCCTCCTCCTCCTCCTAGCCTCCTCCTCCTCCTCCTCCTCCTCCTCCTCCTCCTCCTCCTCCTCCTCCTCCTCCTCCTCCTCCTCCTCTCAAGCCACTTGGGCTCGAGCACCAAGTCCCACGCCCCCGAGCGCTGGGCACGTGCTTGCAGCCTTCCCTGTACTTCCACGCAGTGCTTGAGGGATTTTGCAGCAGGTGCGCCCAACACCTGGTTGCATTAACGAAAGCAGGGAGAACTGAGCAATGATGTCGGCGGCACACCGCCCTTGGAGCAAGTGTCCGTTTTGCCACACGTGCGAATACAATGACAAGTTGCTTCTCGTTGAGTGCAGATGCAGTAATTGTACCAAGCAGGTGCGCCTGTACAAGCCCAAGTCTCGCACACGCTCCAAGTCTGCTGACCGCAAGAGTGCAATTCGATGATCAAGCGGCATCAGGTGCTTCCACTCCTCGTGGTGGGGGCAAGAAGGGCGGCCTCAAGAAGAACCAGGACGTCTCGACGCTGCTCGAGCAGGCGCTGAAGGCCACCCAGGACGCCGAGTTGCAGCAGGTGCTGCAGCAGCAGGCTAAGAGGCTTGCGAGCCAGAACACCAGCGCTAAGAGCGGCGACACCGTGGACGCCGTCAAACGTGCTGATGGAGCTTGGAGGGCCGCCAGCAACCGCCACCAGCAGCTGGTGGATCAGGTCATTCGCCTTCGTGGACAGCTAGCCACCGCAGAAGGCAAGGAACGAGAAGCCGCTCTCGACCTTGCACGTGCTGCGGCGGCCAAGACCGCAGCCACGAAGGCTTTGGTGCAGGCCGAGGGGGTGGGCACGACCGCCGAGAACGCCGAGCCCGAGGCCCAGCCCATGTTCGGCATTTCCATGAATATGGAAGTTTTCAGCTCCTTCGAGTCCTGGGACTGTGAGGAGACCGACAAGCAGAAGTTTCGGGCCTTGAAGGCCGAGCTCGAGCAGTACCAGGCCGCCATGGCCGACAAGAGTGCGACATGGCAGGCCTTCGTTGATAAGGTGAAGTTGGCGCAGCAGGAGGTCACCGAGAGGATGGCCAAGAAGCGCAAGGGGAACGACGGCAGCACCCAGGGCCAGGACAGCCAGGCCCAGGGTGCTACGGGGGCGGCAGCGCCTGCGGCGCCCACGGGAGCGGCCGCGGGCGAGGCCACTGCGCCTGGCGCCACCCCCACCGTCGACCCCGCGCAGGAGGAGGTCATCCAGCAAGAGGCCGCGAAGATCTCCAAGGCGAGGTTCAACGCGGCTGCTGCAGTCGACAAGGGCAAGGGCCAGGCTAGCGCCAAGGGCGTGGGTACGCCACAGACCGCGGAGCCTAGCCATTGACTAGGGACTTCGATCACTACGACGCAGCCTTCTTCATGTGCTGCGACTTCAGGGGCTTCCAGTGTGTCTACTGGTACTAGTACGAGCAGTTCGTGTGTTGTCACATCTTCGACGACTTCACTTGCTGCACCTTCCTCTTCTGTGGGATCTGCTGTACCGGGTTGTTCTACAACTTCCACCAACAGTGAAGAACCTGTTTCATCACTTTTTTCTCGAACGTCACGTGCATGGGGGACAAAGCTTGGGGGCATGTCCGAGCGCTCGTGACGATGGGGTACTCTTTCATTAGTCTGTGTGAGACGCACATTGGCCAACAGTCGATCCGCAAGTGGCGGCGCAAAGCTAGAGATGATTGCCTCAAGCTGTACGCCAATGCTGCCAGGCCGAAGAGCAAGTGGACCACGTTGTCAAACAGTGAATATGCAAATGAAGGTGGCGAGTTTTTCTTGGTTGCACGACACAGGGCAGCGTGCATCTTGGACGAGGCGAGGGCTGCACCCAGTCTTCGGTCCGAGAGAGGTAGTTCGTTTGATGGTTTCGTCCCCGCGCTGCTTGAGCAAAAAGGATATTCAATCGTAGTTGTCACTTTTTACGGTCACTCAGCCATAGGTATGAGGGATCAGAATGTGCCAAGATTTCGGAAGCTTGCCTCTCTTCTTGCTGCCCGTCAGCTTCCCTGGATTGTTGTAGCTGACTGGAATTTCACTCCAGCCTCCCTCAGTAGAACTGGCTTTCTCGAAAAGACGGGGGGCCAAATTTTGTGTAGCGAGGCTGATTTCACTTGCACCCCTGGGGGAGATCTGAAACCCTCACATTTAGATTATTTAGTCTGCAGTGCCGCTGCGCGGCCTTACATTAAGTCTGTGAGTGCCATAAGTGACGTGCCGTGGCGACCTCACATTGGGCTCCGCGTGGGCCTTGTTGGAGCCAGTAGCCAGCTTTTCACGCGTGTTTTAGAGTTGCCCCCCAGGCTCCCCAAAGTGGCCCGCCCTTGGAAGCAACCCACCGAGGGGTCGAAATCGAGCCTCAGCAAAGCCAAGCGAGACATCGATCGCCAGCGTGCTTTAGGGAAACGTAATTCGCGAATTCAGGAGTGGTTTGGCGATGTGCTCAGGTCGGATAAACATGCCGAGAGTGAAGGGGAGGTGTCGGGGTCTGAGGAGGTCGATGCCAGTGAACCGCTGGGAGACAGCGGCGAGCTGGACGACTACGACTACGACCCGTGGGCCGACGAGCCCAACTTCGGCAACCCCGAGCTCGAGCCCGCCCCAGCCGCACCTGTCTCTGTTGCGTCTCTTGCTCGCTCGTCACAGTCAGAAGCTGAGCCAGCTCGAAGTAATTCGTTCCCCTCTAACCCCCAGAGCCCCGATAAGCCCGACAGTGCGGAGGACGGCAGTTCCCAGTCTCAGCAGGGGAGCTCCCAGACCCAGGACCCTGACACCCCAGGCTCGTGCTCTGGTGTTGCGTTTGAGGTGCCCGAGGAAACGTGGAGCCAGGCCAGGAAAAATATTGGGTTCTCTCCGAACTCATTCAGTCTCCCTGCGCCTGCTGTTGCGTCGTCCGTAGCATTTCGGCTAGGAGCCCAGTCAGGTTTCTCTGCACACATCAGTTCACTCTATTGTAGTTGGATTCGGTCCGTTGAGTTGGCGATATACACGCATCACCAGCAGGCACCACCTACATTGAGTCGTGGACAGTCGGTGCAGTTTCGTGTGTGTGAAGTCCACCAGTCTAAGCCGCAACGCATCCAGCCACTCCGTGACCGTGTCGCAGGCTGGTGGACTCGAGTTGCAACAATTGTTCGAACGTATCTCAGTCATCGTCAGCGGCGAAACGGTGACAAGCAACAACAGATTCTCACAGTCGCTGCGCGTAACCTCCTGACGCAGTGCCCTGACGAGAGTCACAGAGTGGTTCGTAGAGGTGATCGTATGAGATGGTCCCAGTGGCATACGACCTTGAGTCGACTCAGCGAGCTTGATATCGACGAACTCAAGGGGCTCGACGCTGACGCGACGCGGCTTGCGCGTCGTAGCCAGCAAAGAGCGGTGCAGAGGTCGATGCAGGAGTTTCGAGAATGGGCCGAGACAACACCTGCAGTCGGGGCGCTTCACAAATCCATCCACGATCAGAAGCTCCCTGACGACACCCTTGAGATCGGCCCTAAGACGTTGATTCATCCTAAGGATATCATGGATGTCAAGACTCAGCACTGGGCACGATTGTGGAGCCCAAAGGCCGACGATGAGTTTCAGCAGATTTCCGAGATGTTTGTCGACATACGGCAGCGGATCCAGGGTGAGTCGCTCATGCCACTAGGAGTTCCGGACCTTCGTGCAGCGCTCGAGAGCATGAAGCCCAATGCCGCCATGGGCGTCGACCGAGTTGGGAGTCATGATTATGATCGGTTACCCGACGCGGCGATCGACGAACTTGGCGAGATCCTCGCGCTCTGTGAGCTACACCAGGTGTGGCCACATCAGGTCCTTCTCACCTTGGGTACCCTCTTACCCAAGAAACTATCAGGTGATCGAGTGATAGGCTTGCTCTCGCACCTTGGCCGCACGTGGCCACGAGCTAGAGAGGTGCACGTCCGTGCTTGGACCGACCAGTGCGAGGCGCACTGGGACGCCGCTGTGCGCGGCAACGCTGCACTTCGTGAAGTTTTTCTTCGAGCTGTGGACGAAGAACTCGCAGTCAAGCTTGGGGCCTCCGTGGGCCATGGTATGATCGATGTGGCGAGCTTTTATGATGCAGCAGGTTGGTTTAGAACGGGCAAAGCCGCACTTCGTCTTTCGTTTCCACCCGAGGTATTAGGCCTCGAACTTCAACAATGTATGGCTGCACGTTGTGTTCGACAGTCAGGGGCATATGGGGCGCCCTCTGTGCCGACACGCTCCATCGTGCAAGGACTTAGAGGTGGTGCGCGATTCGGAAAGTGTTCAACATATTACGTGCTACAGCGCATCACTACAGTTCATGTCAATATGTCTCATCGAATTTGGGTGGACGATCTCAGTCAAACAGTACATGGGTCGAGAGCTGCAGTGCGTGCGAAAATGGTTTCGTGCTTAGCCGACACTTGTGCGGAACTGGAGCAGCACGGTCTTGCAGCGTCCCCCAAATCCGTAGTTCTATGTACACATCTGGATGATGCTCGTGCTGTGGTGCGCAGGCTGGCGGCCAAAGGCTATCGCCTCAAGGTCGCCAGCCAGGCCGCTTACCTTGGAGCGGACCTCTCGGGAGGAAAGCGGCATGGGCGCGCCACTCGTCGCACGCGCGCAGCCAAGCACGCAGCCATGTCCAAGAATATCGTAGGTTTTGCGAGAGCGACTCGCAGGTGTCGAGTGCCCCGCCGTCTTGAGCTGCAAGGCGCTCAACCTGCTGGACTGTGCGGGCATCAGTTACGCGGAGTGTGGGGTGATCAGTTGCAGCAGGCTCGTCGCAAGTTGGCCAATGCGGTGGGACCTAGACTTACTGGCAGATGTG